AATGTTGTTTCTCCTTCACTTCCTTCAAGATTTTTTCTGTCTTTAGTTTTCATAAGTTGTCTTGGTGTGAATTTTTTTAGGTTTATCCTGTTTGGGGTTTGCTCACTTCTTGAATCTGTAGGTTTGGGTCTTTTTGCCAAATTTTCAGCCATTATTTTTTTAAATGTTCTTTTAACCTCATCTTTCTGTTCTGTAATTCTGATGACATGAATGTTAGCTCTGTTGAGAGTCCTACAGAACCCTGAGGCTGTTCCTTTTCTTCCTCTAGTTGGTTTTCTTTCTGTTTTTCATACTGGGTAATTGCTACTGTTAAGACTTCAGGTTCACCGATTCTTACTGTCCTCTCCCTTCTAGTGTCAAACCCATCCACTGAGTTTTTTATTTTGATGGATGGGGATTGCTCACTAAAGCATTTTATGAAGGCTGTTTATTCCTTGTGTAATTATAACATCTGTGTCAGTGTCATCTTGGTACTGTTGTCTGTTCAAGTTAAGATTTTCCTGGTTCTTGGTATTATGTGTGACTTTTGATTAAAACTTGGACATGTTGGTTGTTAGAGATTCTAGATCTTAAAACTTCTGTATTAGCAAGTCTTCTCTGACACCACTCCAACGGGAAACGGAGGTGCTGCCTCATTACCACCAGCTAGGGGTTCTCCACTTGGCTCCCATGACACTGAGGGATGATGATGGGCTCTCTGTTACTGCTGGGTGGCTGTGGGAGTTGAGTCTTCCACTGGACTGGCTGTGAGGTGGAGAGGAGCATCATTACTGCTGCTCATGTGACCTCCACTGACACTATCAGGAGGTAGCCTCATTACCACTGGACAGCCCCGACCTCCATCAGGCCTCCTCTGACACCGCTCCAGAGGGAAGAAGGATCATCTTCATTTTTGAAAGGTCATAAAAAGACTAGGTATAGATTATTGTTTTTTCATTCAGTACTGTGTTGCTCTGCTATTTTCTGGCTTACACTGTGAATCTGCTGTCATTCTTTGTTCTTTAAAGCGTCTTTTTTATTCTTATGCTTGGGATTTGTGGAGTTTCCTGATCTATGGATTTAGTTTTCATCAAATATGAAAAATTTTGGCCATTATTTCTGCAAACATTTATTCTGTCCCCTCCTTTTTTCTGGGACTGTAACATATATTAGAGCACTTATACAGCTTACTGTGCTGTTCATTTTCTTTTTTCTCTCTGTTTTATTCTAGATAGTTTCTGTTGCTGTGCTATCACATCTTTAAATCTTACTTATTGTCTCATCTCATGTAATTTTTATCTCTTAAACTGCAGTTTGAGTCTTTAAAAATCTGTTTCTCTTTCTCATGTGTAGGCTTTCTTCTACCTTCTTGAACACATGGAATATGTTTATAACAGCTGTTTTAATGTCCTGTCTACTAGTTCTAGAATGTCATTTTTGGGTCTGTCTCTGTTGATTTTTTTCCCTTTTGGATCATATTTTCCTGTATGCCTGGTAATTTTTTATTGGATGGCAAACATTGTGAATTTTATGTTGTTGGGTTCTGATTTTGGTGTTCCTTTAAGTATTTTAGAGCTTTGCTCTGGACTCATTTAAGTTCTGAAAACAGTTTTGATTCTTTGAGCCTTGCTTTTAAACCTTGTTGGGGCAAGAGTAGTAGAACAACCTTTAGTGTAGAACTAATTTGGCTGCTTTCTGAGGGAGCATCTTTTTGAATGCTCTGTTTGATGCTCCATGTATTAGGATGTCTTTCCACACTGGCTAGGAGGAACACAAATTATTCCTAGCCTTTTGTGGTTCTGAGGGTTTTTTTTGCATGTTCCTTTCTAGTTCTTGTCTCTTTTTTGAGTAAATCCTCACATGGTACTGACTGATCAGTACTCAGTGGAAGACTGAAGGGACCGGGACCCTCTAGATCTCTAGAGCTTGTTCTCTGCAGTTCTCTCCTCTCCAAATTCTGTACTGTCTCCTCAATTCAGTGAGTATGCCAGGCCCTGTTTGGGTTCCTCCCTCTTCCACAGCCTGGAAACATTCTCTGTGTAATAAGCTTGGCTAATCAGGGGTCTCACCTGTTAGCTCTCCTTCTCTCAGGGATCCCTGTCTTGTTCTATTATCTAATGCCTGTTAACTTTTTTTTCCAGTATATTTTGTCTGGTTTTTAAATAGGAAGAGAAGAAAGTTGAGAGCATTTCCATCTGTTGGCATTTATTTTTCCCAGTGAAAAATATTAACAGCATCTGAAAATTTAGAATTGGGTTAAGATTAGGGATTTAAGGTACAGTATAAACTGAAGAGAAAAACGGGGAAATGGGAAAGGGAGACAACTAGGGAAAAATAAGTAAATGGCTTCCTGAAAGTTGTTGAACTGAGATTAGAAACTAAAATTACAGTATTCGTGATTTAAAAAGCTGTCATAGAATAATTTTTCTACCTTTTAATTTATTCAAGAAATTGACATGACTATATAGAAGTAATAGAATTTGAAGGAAGAGAAACTAAAGTGTTTCTATTAAATGTCAAATGGTTAATGTCTGCACTACATTAAGAAAACATTCTACATATAAATGGGCAAAAGGATAAAATAGTTCACAAAGAGGGGTAAATGTAGCCTCCTGTGTTAAAAACATACAAATTGATATAATTTTGAAAAACTATTTTGCATCTGGTAAAGTAGCATAACAGACAGTGCTGATGCATTTGGGGTGAAGTTGTAATGATTCATTGCCAAGCATTGTAAGTTGCTAGAACTTTTTTAGAAAGTCACATGACAGTGCAAAGCATGAACCATGCAGATTTATATTCCCTATGACCTAATAGTACTTCCTAGAATTATCTATAGATAAACTCAGTGAAGCATAAAGAATATATTTACTCAAGATATTAGATATAAAAGGACATATAAATTAATTGGGGCTTTCCTAATTAACAAACACATTCAAGTGTTTAGCATACCCCCACCTCTCACAACCACTCCTCACATGCTCTGCTCCCATGTCATTTTCCATTCATAGGTGGATTATGGAAATGAATCTTAATTTTTTCATGAGAGCCATTCACAGGTAATTGCAAGCTTGTATTCCCTGATGTATAATCAAATCTGTTTACCAAAGCAGGGAAGTCAGAAAAGACTCTGTCCTGAATGTGAGGCTTCTGATAGCAAAGCGGGAAAAAAAATGGTTCAGAAGTAAGGGGAACTTAAGTGGAGCAAGAACTCAATGAGACCGCACTTGACAGTGACGCATTCCTCTTAGAAATGTCAGTTCCAGAACCCACCACTCTCATTCTGTTTTTCTTCTCTCTCTCCTCTCACCCTACAACCACCACCACTGGAGTAGTATACTCTGTGATGTGTAAGTCATTCACTCTCTTAATGCCTGCAATGAGAGGAAAAGGATTTGGAGAAGGAAGAGTATCAGAAACCTGCTGGATTCCTCAGTAGATCAAAACAGTGGTGATATTGCCATTCATTTTAGGAAGCCCTTGGTTATTTTAGAAATAAAATTGCTTGTCACCCATTTTATGAGATGCTGAAGTAAAGCCACTAAACAAGTCATTTGTGCTCAAAGTACGAGTGTATGGTCCTATAGCTCTTACAAATGCCCATGGAAAACCAGGCTCTAAAGGTTCAGCATTTTATAGGCCTACATCTTCACTAGTCTACAGTGCATACTTCTGAATGTGTTAAAATGGCTGCTTTAAAACTTAAATAAGCTTTAAAGGGTATATCACCAATTCTTACTCCTCCCAATCACACAATAGGTTATTGTATGAAATGCTGAACTGTTGAGAAATGTTTTCCTAGCAGTAATTATTTAAAAGATACCCATTTGTCTTTGGTATGGATGGGGGTATAAAGGATGAGTTTTCCAACTAATTAACAATTTCACTTTCATGACTTCGGCTTTTGGAACAAATAGAATTTCAGGCTTGAGGGGGAATGCTTTAGATGTGGCATTTGTGGGAAATACGAGTCCGAATTTTATGGATGTGAATCATGGAGTTCTGTGTTGGAAACCTGGATTGTATCACCAGTTTAAAGATTGCATATTATTCACTTCTTGTTTTGTGCTTTTATAACTTGTACATTAGTGAGAAAAGTGGTGAGCCTACTGGACATCAAGGCTGAAATGGTAGTTTTACTTGACGTTTTATGGTGAGATCCTTGTGTGATCAGATTCTGTTTGTAAATCTAGATACTTGTTATGTAGATGCCTGCATGTCTTTTTTTTTCTTCTTCATTGACCTTTTGGAAATTTCCAGGTTTTTTTCTGTATCTTAACCAGAAAAATTTTTTTTATTAATTACTATGAACACATAATATGCAAGGATTGTTTTAAATGTATTTAATGGCGTAGATGAACAAAGTTGGCAGCTTATGGATGACTCTTGGCCATAGCTGTTCAGAGTTGGCAGAACTTTATAATGAGCAATAATTTGCTCTGCATTTGTTTTTTTAATCATATTACAGATGCAGGTGTTTTCTTTTCTGTAAGCAGTTTCTGTGAATCTGTAAATCACCTCCTGTGTATTCTGCTGTCCCAGTGACTGAAAGCCAGCTGTTAGGTGTTTCAACAAAACAGCTTGCTCCTAGTTGACTGTTCAAATCCCATTGAAAGGTATTGGCTGCTCCAGGGAGCGAACCAGGAATAGAGCATGCAAGGTGAAGATTTTCACAAGGCCTTTAGTGACCCAGTTCAATTTTCTTGAGATTTTTCTGCTTTGGCTTTTTCCTATAGGTGCCAGATTTCGTCTGCTTCAGATTTTCACAAATGACTCATCTTCCTGTTGTATTTTCTTAGACTACAATGACTTAATCTTAGGGTCACTGTTAAATGTAGTTTCTCTGACTCCATGTATTGAGAGGAGCACATAGTGGTATCAATTGCTAGTGTGTTTCCATCTCATGCTGGTTGATTGCTGTGATACATAGAAAACTTTGTTTCTTCCTGAAAATGGCATTTTAGTGATTAATTGTTTTCTGTGGGTGGAAGCTTATGAGCACTTTTCTTCTTCCCTTCCAGAGGGAATCTGGAAAAGTTTTGAGCAAAACATCATTTCTCTAAGAAAATTTTGGATAACAGAAGTTCTGGATAACAGGTAATGTGTGTTTATACTTCTTTGATGTGCTGACAGTTATCTCAATCTGCAGCAGTAAACTGGGAGAGGGAAGAAAAGGTAGAGAAAAGCCAAGTGTGCTTGTGTCTGGAGTTGCAGTAGGGATTTTACACACGTTACCTTCTTTAGAGTCTGAACATAGAGCTCAAAGTCTCAGTATAAAACTATCCTTCAAAATGATATTTTAAATGGATTTGCCTATTGACTGGATTTAATACCCCCACAATTCAATTTGTTAACATTTTTAACATCTGCCATAAACAAAATACAGAAATTAATAATACAAAATCCTAGAATCTGCTGTGCTATGTAGCCTATGTAAGGAGTGTCTTCCTAGGTCCTTTCTGTCATTTGTTTCAGTTCTTGATCACTGCCAGTTATTTACAGCTGTGCCATCTCCTTAATTCTTTTTAATAACTTGTCAGCAGGTCCAAAATTTGACTTTCCTAATAGGTACCTCTTCAACAGTGGAGTCCAGCCAAGTATCCCCATTATATTCTTAGTGGTAGTCTTACTGTGACTGGACAAAATAGCTACACCTCTGCACTGTGTTCTTACTTGTATCTCACAAAGTTCTGAAGGTCTTATGGAATGACAGTATATGTAGAGAATCCTGTATACTGTGTCTGAGAAATCTGTCTCAAATGAGAGGCACAATTTTACCTTGTAAAAAAGGGAAGACATGAAAGCAAACTGTACTCCTAGGAACCATGGAGGACCAAACACGTGCTCATAGACTGAGATGAATTGTCCTACTTGATGGAAAGTAGGAAGTGAGATGCTGTTTATTCTTAGCAGTCATTCCAGTATGGGCTTAAAGTTAGATTTCAAGTGTATAAAGAAGTCATTTCTAAAAATATCAGTAAATAAACTAAGATTTTAATATTACTTGATTTTCCTTTGGTGTTTTCCCATTTTTATCAGGGCAAACCACCTCAGTCACCATGAGTTGGAGCTTCCTGACTCGCCTACTAGAGGAGATCCACAACCATTCAACGTTTGTGGGGAAGATCTGGCTCACTGTACTGATTGTCTTCCGGATTGTCCTTACAGCTGTAGGAGGAGAATCCATCTATTACGACGAGCAAAGCAAATTTGTGTGCAACACAGAGCAGCCAGGCTGCGAGAACGTGTGCTATGATGCCTTTGCACCCCTCTCCCATGTGCGCTTCTGGGTGTTTCAGATCATCTTGGTGGCGACCCCCTCAGTGATGTACCTGGGCTATGCCATTCATAAAATTGCCAAGAGGGAGCATGGTGAAACTGACAAGAAGGCGGCTCAGAGCAAGCCTTATGCAATGCGCTGGAAACAGCACCGGGCTCTGGAAGAAACAGAAGAGGATCATGAAGAGGATCCCATGATGTATCCAGAGATGGAATTAGAAAGTGAAAAAGAAAATAAAGAGCAGAACCAACCTAAACCCAAGCATGATGGCCGACAGCGGATTCGGGAGGATGGACTCATGAAAATCTATGTGCTGCAGTTGCTGGCAAGGACCGTGTTTGAGGTGGGCTTTCTAATAGGGCAGTATTTTCTGTATGGTTTCCAAGTCCACCCATTTTATGTGTGCAGCAGACTGCCTTGCCCTCATAAGATAGACTGCTTTATTTCTAGACCCACTGAAAAGACCATCTTCCTTCTGATAATGTATGGTGTTACAGGCGTCTGCCTAGTGCTTAACATTTGGGAGATGCTTCATTTAGGCTTTGGGACAATTCGAGACTCACTAAATAGTAAAAGGAGGGAAGTGGAAGATCCGGGTGCTTATAATTATCCTTTCACTTGGAATACACCATCTGCTCCCCCTGGCTATAACATTGCTGTCAAACCAGATCAAATCCAGTATACTGAACTGTCCAATGCTAAGATTGCCTACAAGCAAAACAAGGCCAACATCGCTCAGGAACAGCAGTATGGCAGCCGTGAGGAGAACCTCCCAGCTGACCTGGAGACTCTGCAGCGGGAGATCAGGATGGCTCAGGAGCACTTGGATATAGTAATTCAGACCTACAGCCACCAAAACAACCCACCTGGTCCCCGGGGGAAAACCAAAGTGGGGTCCAAAGCTGGGTCCAACAAAAGCAGTGCTAGTAGCAAATCGGGGGATGGGAAGACCTCTGTCTGGATTTAATCTTGACTGGGCTTAAAACTTGTGCTCTTCATAGTCTGTGGTAAGCAGCGGCTCACTGAATAATGACTTCCATTGAGCAAACATTTGGCTCTGGTTATCTTCAGGGATGCTGTTGGCTCAGGATCCAAGCTCAGGGGACTCTGAAGGCGGGGCTGAGACAGTGGGGAGGAGAGGGAAACACAGTGTTCCTGGGCACATGTTCCAGCAGTAATACAGTTGCAGAACTTTACATTTGTGTCTTCCAGATCTGGAAAGAACATATATTTAAATCATTCTTGTTGAACAGTTTTTGTATGTACAGTATTATGGTACATTTTTTTAGTATGAAAACTTTTGTATTTGTACATTGGACTGCGTAGTTATACTTTTATATTAAAGGGGAAAAAATCCTTAAGGTAATACCTATTAGGCTAGTGTGATTACTTTGTTCAGCAATTCTACCGTGGGTTTGAAGTTTTAATAGATGCTACACCTAATAAAAGTGCCTCTGGTGTTACAGGGAAGATTTCAGATGTGTAAGGAACTTGAGGAGGAATCAGTTTTCAGTCTTGGAAAGAAAATCTATAGTAGAAGGAGGTTGAGATCTTCTTTTCTTGAGAAATCTTTGACTCTCATTCATGTGGCCACAGTATCCAGTCTTTGAAAACCTATTTGTATTTGGAGATAAATGACTCACTGCAGGATTCCTGTAAGTATCCAGCATTGCCAGTATGTTTTGATATGCTGTCATACAATTTAAGTTCTTTCAAGAGGCTGATACCCATCCAGTAGCAGTGTGGAGACACTGGCTAGAATTGTCACTAAGATTCCTCAATCACAAAGCAAAGCCACCCCTGGAAAATGAGCCCTAATAGGACCTGTTTGATTTGCCTTAACTCTATCCAGAAACCTGCCTCTCTGGTTTCTTAAGAAGCCAGTGATGGATATTTTCTTCATATGTTAATATCAGAAATAACAAAAATTCCTTTGTAGGCTAAGAATACTCAAAGCTACTTGTACTGCTTATGGCAGAAGGCCTAAGTCCAAATTCCTTACTTTTTTTATAATTTACCATGGAACTTTTGTAATTTACATACCTCTTTACATACCTCTGCCAACATAAATTTCTGCCTGGAAGACCAGTCAGACCTGGGATTCTATCTGTAAATAAACGTAATGAGAATTTCAGTATTTATTCTCTATAGACATATCTGTCAGTGACAAGCATTAATGTTCACATAACACTCACAATTTGCAGTATTTTATTACCATTCTCAACCTTATATATGTTGGAGAACTTTGCTTTCTCACCATGTTCACATTATCTTATAGTTGATGAGCTGAGTAAAGCTTGGTAATGATTTAAAGGAAGCAGCCTTTGCTTCTCCAGGGAGTATTTCCTTTTGGGTATCTCACTCTTTTCTAATAGAAATCTATTACAAAACATCTCTGACTTTGAAATTCCAAAAGTATTATTTTTTATGTCTCATTTTTAAAATACCAGTTCTCTGTTACTTAGGAGAATCATAAAGCAGCACCCTTTGTGCAATTTTTTTGTTGTTGTTTTCCACTGCATTTCTTCCCACTCCCCCCAAAAATGAAACTTGGTAGAAAAGTTACACTTATCTTCTAGCCATGCATTTATCCTTATTTTGCCTTTTTTTCCCTCCCAAATCTATAAATTTAGCCTAGAGAAGCTCCTCGGGATCTCTAAACATCTTAAGCAATAAGTAAACTTGGGTAAGGCTGATGGGGAAATTGCAGAAAATTATATCCTGAAAAACTTTAGAGACATGCACAGTTTCCTTCAAATTTCATTTGAAGGAATTAACAAGGAAATTCAAATATTCTAAGAGAACAGGCAAACCTTTTTAAACACCCAAGTTTAGCTAAGATAAAGAACCACCAGTCAATTCTTATGTCACTAGAGCTTCAAGGAGATTTTTTAATTGAAGGACAGAAAATACATATACACTCACATCCATCTATTCAGTGCCCGAAGGAGAACAGTGGCTTTGCCAGCAGAAAGGTTGTGGATTTGCAAATGATGGAGAGGGAAGGAGTCAGGCAGAAATGCCAGGCTAAGACATTCGGCGCCAGAAGCATCCATTTAGCTTCTGCAAACACTGCCCCTGGTGTTTCAGCTCGGCTTGTCCCGAGGAGAATGTGATCTTTTGTGTCTAGATAATTCTTCAACTTCTTACAGTATATAAAAAAGATAATTCTAAGTCACTTCACATGTGCGCACACTTTTAAAAATCGATTTTCATTCTCTCACTAAAGTTTTAATTACATGATTTCCCAATTCTCACCACTTTCTTAATATATTTATTTCTGCCTTTGAACAAAGTTTGCAAAGCCATTTTTCCCTTATGGTATGTTATGGGCCTGCATTAACAAAGTGGCCCTGTCACTGTCTAGCTTAACCCATTGATTGGGCCTACATTGAATCTAAAAATACTGTTCTGAGTATTGTTCTAGAACTTGCAGATATTTATATAAAAAGCCTGATAGCAGTTTTTTTCCTATCAAAATCATATTCTTTTGAATTGCCATGTAAGATATGCTCTGTCATGACATTTACTTCTCTAAAGAGAAGTTAAATGCTTACTCCTTCACATACTAGAATCAGGATGCAGTCAACAGCATGTTTATTTCTTGACATATTGGATTTATTCAGATGTGGTATGTCCTTTGCTCATCTTTGCTAAAATTATTCAGAAGAGATTTATAAAACAAACAGGCTTTTTTCTTAGTTCATATTGGAGGGGAGAATTAGATGCCATTTTCTCTTAAGAAATGTTAGTGTTCATTTTGTGGCTTCATCTTTGCTGTATGACTTAATTAATTTTGTCTGTTTCTGTATTTGTTCATTTAAAATCACAAGCATGTTACTTCATTTGAAGTCAGTTTTTCTGGGGCTATTCCTTGACTAATGTCTATAGCATTATTTTTGATAAAAATGAACTTTGCCATCTAAAATGGCTCTTACAGGTTAGGACTCCCACATATCTATCTTTTAGAAGGACACCTCTATCTTTGAAGAAAAAAATTGTCATTGGGTACCTAACTCTGTTATTTCTTTGTGGTATGAAATGAGATAGTTCACGTTACTTTTCCAAGTTGCAGGAACTGCTTACCTCTCAGTAGTGTTAAGGAGTAGAGAGAGCCTCTAATGAAAAGTAGTATAAGATCAACTATGATTATTGGTCATTTGTCTGAACTTGGAGCATCAAAAAAAAAAAAGTTGAGAGAACTGTGTGATGGTAGTAAAATGACCTTCAGTGTTCTTTATCACAGGAGGACTCAGTGATGGTTTAAAACATTTAAATGGTTTAAGCAGTTTATGCCAAGAATGGGCTTAAATATTACTCCTATTAGTCATACCTATGCTTTACCATTAAGCCAATAAATGACCGTGCTTTATGCTTTTTGTCTCATTCAAGAGACAATAACACTTCTAAAAATAACATCTATAGTTTATGATAAATTTTTGCTAGCCAGCTTTCAGTAAAAGGCAAGAATGCCTTTTTATTAGGGGAAGGTCTTTCCCAACTGTGAAGAAAAATGTGTGAACTTGCTGGTAATTTTAATTGGAAGGTTCCAGGTATTAGATTAATTTTGTCTTTATAAAATCATGTAATCTCATGAAGAGTCTTACCACCTGAAGATGATAAATCCCCTGCACCTATATAGTGCGGAGTTTGGAAATAAAATTTCAGTTCACCTATATATCATAAATCATATAGTCACCATCAGACTTTTGAATCTTGTCACTCTTTCTGGCCACACATCATGGAGAATTTAAAAGAGTTTATTTGTCGTCCCTAATGAAGTTGTGTTCTTTTGTTGCTTTTAATAATGATGTTAAGTGAGTTTGGTTCATGCACATTCCATATTAATAATCATACTTTTTAAGGACGTTATCCCTAGTATTCTAAAATCCAGGAGTCCACACCAAAGGAAGTCCTATTCCTGTGCAAAATCTCTACAGAAATAAAAGAAGTAAGAGTTCGGCATTTCGGGGTTGGCTTGTTGAATCAGCAAAGGCACTTGGTTATGTGCTTTTCCAAGATTGGAAATGTTTTTCTCTATTATACTTTGAATCGTTTTTACTTAATAAATCTTCTTTGCAAGTCTTTACCTCAGGCACTAAGTGTTAGATAGGGTTAGCATATTGGTACTGAAAAACTTGGCTAAGAGTTCCAACTTTTTAAGGTAATTTAAATGTAAAATTCAACTATTAACCAACAGTCTAATGTCATATGGTATGCAGTTGGGTATTGTGTGAACAGCTAAGGAATTACCCATTCTAGTGCCAAAGATCACTGGTTGCTAATTTCTGTACATTGATGTGAAACTTTGTGGTGGGGACAGACTCTGTGCTGAGGGCCTTGTCTCTAGGAAAATTTTGTCAGTTCCAAATACAGTTTAGAAGATTCATTTGTGGTCTGTGTATCTTTTCACAAACTTGAAAACTCAGCTGCCAAAAAATGTCATATTGAGGATTGTACCCCATTCTTCATTTAAAATAGTACCCAAGAGCTTAATGGTTTACACAGAAAACCTGATATGAAAATCTCTTCTAGTACTTTCACCTGTAAGTTGATCTCAGTGGGAATGCATGAGCAGGAAAATTTCCAAGTAGAGGTTTGAGTTAAAAAAATAGGCCTTTTTTCATAGCTGGGTTAGAACTCCTTTGGGATTGCTGTGGCTAAGTGTATTGGTGTATTTCTGGCATCAGTCTGGGAAGGGTGGGTGACCTTGTAGGGGAGGGAAAAGCTGAGGTCTAAGCATAGAAACTGGTAACACACCCTGTCTCTGGCTTTCTTTGGTTCTCAAGGCCTTGTCTCCAAGAGGAGTACCTCCAGGAGGGTTGCTCCCCACAGACCAATCTTGGTATGGCTAATCTACCTTCTAAGAGAAGGGTGTAGAATAAGGCTGAGGAAACAATAGCATTAATTGCAACAATACCCTGTTCCCCCAGACAAGAGACTAAATGGTGGCTAGGTCATGCATAGCCCCCGCTCAGCAGCCCAGATTGTAAACTGGTCAGCCCAACCATATTTGGTAATAAACTTGTGAGCTGTTTGGAAGCTGTTGGAACCGTCAAGTCACTGTTAGTTTTGAAAGTGGATTCTTCGGCAGATTTGCTGTCTGAACAGATTAATACCTGGAGAAGGTGTCAGCATCAGTTAAAATCTGTTTTCTTTATGGAGAGTTGAAAACTACTTCTAAATTTTAAGGGCCTACATTAATCTTCCTGTACAGGGTTTCCCTCCTTTAGTTATCTCAAATTGGAAGCATGTTACAGAAGGGCGTGAAGAATATGGAGGTTGAGAAGAGCTGAGAACAATCCACGTCTGCAGTGTGGCTCAATCCAGCATCCTATGCCCTTTTCCTAGAGAATGTGCAGAAACAGCTGTTTAGTAGAGCTTTCTCATAAGGGCGGAATTGAAGGGCATTGATCTATGCTGGGTGGACCTTGCTGTATCTATAGTTTTTTCCAAATGGGACCGTTGGACCGTCTGTGTAAGAAGTAACAGGGAATTAATTATCTATCAAAATTTAGCTTGGACACATAACAGGACTATAATCAGAACTAGTAAGTTCTCTAGGTGTTTTTTTTTTTTTTAAGAATTTTAATAAGGTACAGGTTATATGCTGTAAAATTCACCCCTTTTGGCGTATAGTCACAAATGAATACAATTGAGTAACCACCACCAGAAGATACAGAATAGTTGCATCACCCAGAAATTCTTTCTAGGTAGTTCTTATCTACATTAAGGTTTGAGAACCACTTATCTTAGAGAAAAGAAATACTTGAAGTGTGGGCCAGAATAAAAGGGAAAGAGGAATTGTTTTGAATGATAGCTCTGTTTCAAGGAGGTTGTAGACCTGTCATAGCACAAGTGTCATTTCATCCACCAGCTCAGATTGGTGGATGGCAGGCTGGAATGGAGAACTGTAGAGGAGTCAGAGACTTGATCAGCTGAATAATCCAGAAGTGATTTGAGGGATGGGGCAGGGGTGTTGGGAAGAGTGCCATCTGACATCATCCAGTAGGGATTCAGGACTTCTGATTTATGACTAGG